CACCTGGCATCATCCACGTCTGTTGCACGTCAGCTATGCCAAGACAAGGGTTAAAACGAAGCATGTGGGGTTCCTCGGTGGCGTAACTTTAAATCATTTTTTCGTCCAACATCCGCCTGTAGGAGGACACGCCCGACCCCACCCTGGCCTCCGGGGACCGCCGTGCAGCCGGTGTCCCGCGGCCCTGCCCGCTCCTCCTTGTGGCGCCAGGCCGCGCGAGTAGGGGGCGGCAGAAAGGCTCGAGCCCAGGGGGCGGGCGCCTGCCGCCAGCGCACGGTTCCACGGCGAGGCCCGCGACCGCACCGTGAACCCAGGGCGATCATGCCTGTGCAAAGAGACAGGCCGTAGACGCGTTAACGGTGTGTTGGCAAACGGCGAAGTAGGACATCCAGTCGTAGAAAGGCGTGGTTCGGGGCCAAACCGAGTGCAGGAACGCGTGGTTCGTGTTTTCCTACAACTCGCTGTGTCGTTTTCGTTCGGTACATTCGCACAGTTGAACCGAAGGAAACGGTGTTTTGTGATTTCCTGCATATTGTTTTGCGTGAGTTCGGTCTCGCAACAAAATAGATTCCCAACCGCACCGTGAATTAACCAAGCACGCCGTCAGCGCGGCCTGGGGACATGGGGGTCAGAGCCCAAATGCGATTCAGCAAGAACAGACACCCCCCTGTAACTTTAGCAGGAAACTTGTGCGACGGAGGATCGTCGACGACTGGTAGGATGAAGGAGGTGGAAGGGGGCCACGAGGACCCTGGGCGGGCCGGACTGAGTTCCGCGGTTTTCTCTGACAGCGATGACGACGAGTGCCTGGCCGACGTTTTTCCGCCAAGGTCAGCGGCATTGAAAAGAAAGGCAGGGGTCCGGGAGACGGTGAGAAAGCCAGGGGAGGTAGGAGTGAAGGGGGTGGGGACAGAGGGATACAACAAGAACACGCAGAAGCTGGAGGATGCAAGGAGCTTGATGGCGAAAACATGAACGAAAGTAAACCTGAACAGGGAGGTGAAGGACAGGACGACATGAACACCGATCAGGTACGTGCCGGCTTTAACATGATGGGTCTTGATTCCGATGTAGCGGAATAGTTATTCGGGGCGACTTTGGATGTCATCAAGCAGGTCAATGAGGTCAGGAGATTTGTGAGGTTATGCGGCAAAGGCCAGCTCAACGCGCAGCCGGGCGTGTCCGAGGCTTACTCGCCAGTGCGAGTTGCCGACGAGGCGAAAACAATTGGACCCATGACCGGGTTAGCTATGGACTTTACGACGATCCTTGGTGCATACGGGATCTTTGGGGGTTTCAATTGCGAAGCAATGCATGCGAAAGCCAAGAAGATTATCAAATGTGAAGCAGCCGTTCTGTTAATCGCAAGCCCAGTGTTCGCGGCTATCAGTGGGTTACGAGCTTTCAACTCGAGTCTCGGGCCAGAGATGATGAGGGGCATGCTAGAGTACCGAAAACAGCACCTCAAGTTTGCGTTAGCATAGTGTAAACTATACAGGGGAATAATGGGTTATATTCTCCCACTGAACATCCTGCCAGAGCCTGGAGCTGGGTCACGACACTTCTGCATATAATGCTGCAGCGTGAAGGGGCGCAGACATATACCAGGATCGTTGCAACAGGAGGCGGTTCTTATCCAGAGATCCGCCAGGTTTATGACCGACAGCCCTCATGTTGGTAGGACCCTCAGCATGAAGTGTCAACGTCAGCATCGACGTATGGAGTGAATCGGATGAGGCCGACCGAAGAGATCAGAAGTGTACCCAAACCGACTGTGTCGAGCTGTACGACAAGGACTGGTTGGCCAAATGACCGCCGACGCCAGATGAGGGTGCCTTTCCAGGCCGTGTTTTACCCAGAAGTCACCTGCAGCGTACCAGGCGAAGGGGTGTATTTCGGGGATCGGAGTCAACGAAGTCATGTACTCCAGATTTCGTAATAAAGGGAGGGGGGTCTCATTTCGGGAGGGGTCTCTTCCAGGCTATCTTGGAGGGCCTGAGGGGGTCTGGGGACGATGTTTTGGAGGGTTCTCCCACGGGGGAGGTCTGGAATGGCTCGTCTTCGAGGGTCCAGACCCCCTCCCTTTTATTACGACATTTGGAGTACCATGCGGACGCGGCCACCTGGGGCCTTCGGTGGAGCTCCCTATGGGCCACGAGACGCCTGAGGGTGGTGCCAGACTGCACCCGAATAGTCATGCGGACGCAGCCATTGGCTCTTGCGTTGGAACTCCCGATGGGGCCATGAAGCGTGTGAGGGGTGTGCCAACATGGACCCGAGTAATCATGTGGATGCAGCCATTGGGGCTTGCGGTGAAGCTCCCTATGGGAACAAAAAACGTGTGAAGGGTGTGCCAATATGGACCCGAGTAATCATGCTGACGCAGCAATTGGGGCCTTGGGTGGAGCTCCCTGTGGGGCCACACGCCGTGTGAAAGGTGTGCCAACATGGACCCGAATAGTCATGCGGACGCAGCCATTGGGGTAGTCGGTGGATCTCCCTATGGTGCCTCGAAGCGTCTGAGGTGTACGCTAGAATGGGCCCGAGTAATCATGCGGACGTACCAATTGAAGCCTTCGGTGGAGCTCCCTATGGGGCCACAAATCGTGTGGATGGAAATCAGGATGATAGTGGCGACGCTTGTGCTGATGATGGTGATGATAGTGGTGATGGTGGTACTGATGGTGATGGGGATGGTGATGATGATGGTGGTGGTGGATGCGGTGATGGGATGAGAAAAGACGAGGGTGATGCTGATAATGGTGATGATGGTGATACTCAGGATACACGTGATGATGGTGCTGATGATGCTGCTGATGATGATGCTGATGATGCTGCTGATGATGATGGTGATGGTGGTGTTGGCGGTGGTCATAATGAGGATGCTGGCAAGGATGAGGAAGAAAAAGGAGAGGCGGAGGAGGGAGGGGGAGCAGGGGAGGAGGGAACGAAGAGGAGAGACGCGCGGCCTCGCGGATTTAAAACAAGAGCTCAACACACTGGAGGGTTGGGAAAAGGAGGGATGATAAGGAGGAGGAAGAGGACGGAGGGATGGAAGGAGACGCGCGGCTCTGCGAATTCAAAACGAGGACCCAACACACATGAGGGTTGGGAACGAACACGTTTGTCAGGTTTTCCGATGAAGATCGTGAGCCAGGGATGTTTGGAAGACTGTTAAAATCAAAGTGCGGCGCCAGGGGCGCTGCCAGCAATTGGGGGGACGGTGGGGTGGATTTCGCACGTGACGTCGGGCTTGACATCGGAAGAGCGTCACCCTATTTTACGCGTCAAACGTGGCGGATCTGGCTCACGGTCCAATGATATGAGTTCATTTCATTGGGTAGTGGTTTTGATTTTGATTGGTCCGAAGGAGAAATGAACATACATTCGAAGGGGCAATACGGGGCAGTCTTGGACCGGGACAGAAAGACACGACGTGGATCAAGAGATTCCTGTCCGTCCGTGGACTGGAACGTGGGCGGATTAGGGAATGAGGCGGGTCGAAGGCATGCTTTTACATTCGTCAAAGAATTAGGCCTGGAACAAGACGAAGTGAGATGTGGGATGCCGGGTGGAAAGTGACCTTGCGAAGAAGAAAACGAGTGGCCACGGCCAAATCATGTGAAGTTTGACAATGCCAAGCTCTAGTGTCCAGGGCAAATTACTTGTCACAGGACCGCTCGGATGTATGCATTGGCGCGTTCCATGTCACCCCGCCTCGAGTGGCATGGAAAAGTCCCGCCAAACTGGGCAAATACTTAAAGAACCACGACAGATGTGGGCATCAGTATTTGTATCCAGCAAGTCGGGGGGATTTCAATATATGGACAGACGCTGACTATAGTCGTGGAGTTCAACCCAAAGTGTGGTAGCATCATCTTCAGGGGAGGCGGAGTATTGCGGAATGGTGGGAGGCGCCTGAGTAGTGGTGGTACAGCAAGCAGTTCTCAAGGAATCCGAGGTTGATTGTGACATCTCGTTGGAGAGCGGTGCAAGTGGAGCCATTGCGATGGCGAGCTGGGGAGAACTAGGAAAAATGAGACACATCAGAGCTTGCCAACCTTGGTTGCAAGAGAAGATACGGCGAGGGGACATCAGAGCTTTCCAAGTGGGAATTCGCGAAGATCTCTCATACAATCTGGCCAAGTACGTGAACAGAGACAGCATGATGACGCACTCGAGAGGTACTCACCAGCATTCGTTGGTGGAAGGCACGAGCCAGCGCCAGCCACGGAGTGCCAGCTCACTATAATCTACAGTCTACAGCTCGCTATGGGCGAGCCGCTCTGCCGGGCATTTGAGCTCAGCATCCGTGGAGATCCAGGTGCTCGTCTACGCGCTTCGAAGCGTCCACCTGGTGCTCTGCGACACTCAACCTCGTGTATCGTCAGATGGGACGCCAAAGTCGTGGTCGTATGTCCACGACTCAACTTGGCAGGATGGGGTCCTGGCTTCGATGCTCTGCCTACGGCCTTGAACGCATCCGCTATCCAGTCGCTTTTGCGGTTGACATCTCGCCCGTCTTCACATTCGGCTCATCAGCCGAAGGGGTGTTGTTGTTAGATTGTAGCGTTTCGGTTGGGTGAGCAGGGTCAGCTTGTCACACTGGTTCGATACAGATTTGAGACAATCGTCGTGTTACGTGTGGCTGAAGCTCAAGCCGCTCGCTTCCGGGGCGAAAAGGCTCCTGCCCTATTTTCACGGAAAATGGAAGAAGAGGGGGGAGTGGAGATGGGTGGGGGGGGGATGTGAGGAGGGGGAGAAGGGACGAAGAGAGAACCGGAGGTTGTGGGGGGCACGGGAGATCCCAGGACTCTGAGGGCGCACGCCCTCGCGATCGGAGGATCGGCCAACAAAAATGACGGACTTCGAACACGACGGAAGACGCTGTGGTGTAAGGGGCCGTTCCCAGGAGCCCCCTCCGGCGTCCAGCAGAGTGGTCAGAGCTCGTTCCGGCTTGGGAGTGAGAGGCCCCGCCGCCCCGCGCGCGCCCGTTCGAG